CCCTCGCTGACGCCTGCAAGCACACAAGGCAGATTTCATTACAGATTACACTGGTTGCTCTTTGAAGGCACGCTGCCCCCGGAGGGCCTGCAGGGACTCAAGGCAAACAAGAGTCGGGAGGAATGGCGGCCACGGAGCAGCGTAGCGTGGCCCCGGCGTCCGGCTCTCTGCTCTCCTGCCAGGGTAAACAAGGAGGCTTGCATAGCTCGGGAGCAAAGCACAGATTAGGCTCTGTTAACATTCCTCCCACCCCCGACACACACACACAGACTCACACACTGTCTCTTTGCTTCACACAGACTCTGAGTTTAGTTTTCGTCCTGGGCATAATGCGAGGGCAGACGATGGTTTCGATCTCTGACCTTTATTTGCTCTTGGGTCAGGTTTCCTGAACTCCCAAAACAGCTGATGGAAATGTAGGAAGATGTCGTCTCTAACAACAGATTCTGAGAGGAGGAATTAGTAGACAATCACAAGCCAAAAGAGGAAAAAAATGTTCCACTGATGCAAGCTTGGACTCTATCTCTTGATAGAAATGATACTCTGACCTGACTTGCAGTTACATCATTTTTAAGTCTTCCATCCATCCATTATCTAGACTGATTTTCCCGTTTGGGGTGGTGGAGCTCGCATGTGGAGTTTGCATGTTCTCCCCATGCATGTGTGCTCTCCAGTACTCCAGCTTCCTCCCCAAGTCCAAAGACATCTCGCCCAATGACAGCTGAGATCGTCTCCAGCCACCGGAGGGGAAGAGACCACTGTACTGGTTATCATTTCCACTACACCTTAAACAGAGTTAAACTGATTTTTTGTGTAATTTCAGTGACACATTTGAGTCCCTTGTGTTGAGCCAAGAATAGAAACCTCACAGCTCGGTCAATAACACTCTCTCTCTCTCTCTCTCTCCTGTGTGTGAAGAAACTCAATCAGCAGACATGGCTGCTGTCTTTCTCTCCTGATAAAAACAGAAACACCAAATCTGGTGTCAATCTTTCCAATTGGTGGATAATATCATTTGTGAGCATCGACGTCTCCACAGGAACGACCGTGGCTGCTGGGCAGGCAGTCTTATCTACTCTATCTGCTTTTTTTCCCCCAGGAGGCTTTAGGAGACGACTTTAACGAGTCCTGGAGGCTGCTGGAGAATGAGCTCATGACTGCAGCAGCGTGTCTGTCTGTCTGTCTGTCTCTCCTCTGAGATCAGTCAGCTGTGAGCCAGCAGCATCATTTCTACTGGCAGCCACCGAGTGACTCAACTTCTTAAATCTTCAGGGTTTTTTTTTATTTTTTTTATGTGCCATCTTTTCTCTCTCTTCTCACTCTGGTTTTTTCTGTCAATCAAAAAGTGCTCTCTCTCTCCTTCTCTTTCTCAATAACGCCCATGACTCTTTCACGACTGCTACGTCCATATTCATGGGTGTAGTAGTGGGGGGGGGAACCCAGTGGAGGGAGGGGCTCTCATTCTGCCTGATATACATTCTTGTTATGGATATGATTGTCTTTTTTTAAGCGACCATATTGCTTTTAAGGGGTCATTTGTGTAAGGGAGGTGTGGTTATATAAGGACAGGTTGTCTGAGGGTGTGGTGGAGGGGCCCGATGTGGGGGGGGGGGGGGGGGGGTCCAGAAATCCTGGCAACGGCTCCATTAGTGTCCTCTCTGCCTGATGCTCACCGACAGGGACTCTCCGGCCGTTTGTGCGGCTCGTCACATGGCTCCTTTCCTGCTCCAGCCGGCTAATTAGCGCTGGCTTAGCGGACATTAAGCAGCGATATGGGGTTTAACGTTTCTGGGCTAATCCCTCTCCTTTTGGCCAGGAAATCGGAAACCCCGTATGTCATGAGGTAGACTTACATCCAGAGATTAAGTCTGGCAGTCTGAGGTTATTTACCGGCATTCAGGATGTCTGCAGTAAGCTGCTGCTGCCACTTCAGCCACTTGAGAAAAAAAAAAAACACTCCAGGCTAAAAGCTGTGAGCCGAAAATCTACATTCAAACATATTCAGGTTTTAACATCGCAGGTGTGAAGCTTATCCACAACAACCTTCAGAACAAAGACAGCGACAGAGAAGCTTTCTGCAGAGTTACCCTGAACACTTTTATCTCTCTACATATCAGATAAATGCCTCAAAGAAAAAAAAAAAGGATTTTGTATTAACACGGAGCAAGATTACAAAAATAATCCTCCAACATCCAAGTGAGCAGAATGACGGGATTAGATGTTGAAAGCGATAGCACCAAGACAAAGAACATTACACGACATTCCTTTGTTCATTAAACGACGGAGCGGCTACGATAAGAACAAAAATATTGTTTTTTAATTTCAGAGTCTTAAATGAGAGAGTTAGTATAAATATGGACGTAATTACTCGATGTGGAGCCAGCAGCCCGATGAGCTGCTGTTACCTGTGTTTGACAGACGGTCTTCTTCAGAGCGCCGTCGACGTGCTGTGATCGGCAACAAACGTCTCATTAAACACAGATCTGTGTTAACTCTAACAGCGAGGTAATCCTTCAAATATCAAACTCAGAGAAAAAAGGGAAACAGTAGAAGCTCTTCTGAACCGTTGACAACAGAAGCCTCAAAAAACTCAAAAAATAAACGTCTTTTCTGTTGATGAATGACACGCTGTCTCAACTAAAAGCTCTAAGATTTATTTTGAAGCGACAGGACAGTGGATAGAGATGGGAATAACAGCCACAGGTCGGACTTGGCCACCAGCTTAAAGAACTACAGACTCTGTACATGGGACCTGCAAACTAACCACTTGGCCATCGGCGCCCCTTAAAGCTCTTTTTCATGTCTTTTTTGCTGACTAAGTTGTTACAGGAATTCAAAAGGTCGAGAACAAGTGGACTCCAACAGGGTTGATACATTTTGCATTTTGTTAAGCCCGCCTACAGCGCTGTTTGTTTTAAGTAAAGAGAATGTGATGGTTACTGAAAATTGCAAGCAACCTCCCAGACGCCGTCTAAACTGCACAAAAACATCGACAACATTTCAGAACCAAAACTTTGTCTCTTGCACTCCTTGACTGTGTTTAAAAGTATACTTTAAAACTGAAGATTTGTATTTTTGAAAAGCTTTGGTAGCTTATAGATAATATTAAAAACCTCAGATTGTATCGTTTAAAAACATGTGGTATTAAAAAAGTTATGACGTATTGGAAACATTGACAACTGTGTTACGACCACGTTACGACCAACAGATTTGGTGAAACATTACCGGGCTTGCTTTCCCGCTCTTCCAGCGACGCAGACTGACACAGCGACGGTGGCTCTGCGTTTTATTGTTTTAAAGACGAGTGTGATGTCTGATTTGGTCGATGCGCCGCAGAGGGTTTTTTTTTCCAAACGGGGGGGGGGCTTTGATTTCAGCTGGGCGTCCGTCACACAGAAACAGCTCCACATTTCGCCTCTGGCTTCGATTGTGTCCAGCAGTTTAGGTGGACTGGGAATCAGTTTGAGGCATGATAGATGGTTTGACAGTGCTGACATGTTTTTGGCAGTCTGCACCTCGATGTAGAATCTATCTTCTTTGAAGTATTGTGAAAGTATGCAGACGGATATAAAATGTATAAAAAGCATTTGTAAGGGTATAAACAACTTAAACACATCCGTCTACTCGTCTGTCTGGTGTTTTTTGTTGTCTGTGCCAGACTCTCTATCGTCTCACTCTCTTCCCTTCTCTCCATTTTACCATTTAATACCTTTTTACTGTTTTTCTCTGAGCGTCTCACTCTCCGCTGTCACCCTCCGTGCGCTACAACAAAGGCCTCTCAGTGTGCCGTCTGGCTGGTCGCGGGCCCGCAGAGGGGTGGAGACGCCCTCTCTCTCTCTCTCTCTCTCTCTCTCTCTCTCTCTCTCTCTAGCTGACAGAACAGAGACTGTAAAGCCACACGCAGCCATCCCTCATCGCTCTTTGTTCACCTGCACCTGAACTCCGAGTGCCAGAACAGCTCACATCACAGCGGCACTCCGAGAGAGGGGTGTAGCCCCCCCCCCAGAGAACGAGCAGCTTCTGATCCCTGCGACGGTGCCGTTTAGTTTGGCACTCTGGGGAAGAAGCTTTAATGTGAGCACGGCGAGACGGAGAGAGCGCTCATAAAGAGGCCGTAAAACTCTAATTACAGATATTAAAACTCTAATCGGACACATCAATCCAATAAAAGTCAAAGAAGTGACAGTAACGGCTTCTTGCTGAACGAATCCTACAAACAAAATATTTGATCACACTGACGAGAGAAATGAACCCGAGACTCTAAAACACAGATTAACCTTCATAAATAAAGCGAGGAGACAAAATCCAAGGAAGGAAGTAACCACACTCAATATCACGATATCAGGTTCATGATACAATTTCATCACGATTTTCTAGTTCAGATAAAAACAGAGTTTCACAGCTCCCTCTGTTAGCAGATTGAGCAGTATGTGTATGTGTGTGTGTGTGTGTGTGTGTGTGTGTGTGTGTGTGTGTGTGTGTGTGTGTGGTGGCAGGTGTTGCACATTAAGCTTAACGACGTGCTTCACGCTGCCTTAATGGAACTCAGGTTGCATTTTTCTGACTCAAGAAGTGAAGAGCACATTAACACGTTGTGTTTAAGTGCTGTGCACGCTGCCGCTAAAGGTGTGAAACACCTGCAGGGTTTCTTTGTTTCACTTATCAGAGGTGGGCGATGTGTTCAACGGCATGTTAAGAAAGAAAAGAAGTCGCTTTGATATGATTCATGCATCGTTGACGGGTGGTTAGTGTAGGGGGGGCAGCATTTAGACAGTTAAATAAGAAGGACTCCTGCAGTTTAGTTTCCTCCTGCACACTTTGTCCTCTTGCATCCTGCATCTTTTTTTCTTTGACTTTTAAGGGTGTTTGGCCGCGTAACAAAGTCAGTTTAACGCGACCTTAAAACTAATCTGAAAACCTCACAAGAACGTCTCACTTCCACCCAAATTTCTTGAGAAAGGTACAAATAATAATAATTAAGAATTCACCATTTCCATTACCTGCATCTTCTGGATCTTCGTCATAATCTTCATCATCACCAGACGACAGAGAATCTGGACGGAGAGAGAGAGAAATGGAGAGAGGGATTAATACTCCATGTTTACAAGAATGTCTTTTTATTCTTCACAGTGCTTGAACTTTGTCACCATCAGATAAACATCCAAGTTACATCTGGAAACCTCGTAGCCTGGAACGGATTTAATGCAAGACAAGAAGGAAAGTAAAGAGGGGGAAAACAAAGCAGGCTTTCTGTGCGTGTTAGATTAAACGATGTGTGTTCACAGAATGAGTGCGATCAGATGCACACACACACACACACACACACACACACACACACACACACACACACACACACACACACACACACACACACACACACACACACACACACACACACACACACACACACACGTCTGCATGAATGCACACTGAAAGCGACTCTGCTCGTTGAGAAACTCATGAATGAGTCTACAGTCCTGTGCAGTGTGGCGGCTCGCTCACATACTACTAACCCAAACATTTCCACAGACGTTACAAACGAGTGGAGGTCATTAGCCGTGCTGCGTTCACGTGTACACACACACACACACACACACACACATAAAAACAACTCTTTTTCTAAACACACTAACAGTTAACGTGTCAGATGGTGTCTAATTATTCTCCACAGATACGACGGTTCAGATTCGCTGTATCAAACATTTTCAACGGCGGCGTTGGTAATTATTTTGGATGTGACCTTGAAGTTTTCAGGTGCAGCTCCACAGGTCGGCTTAATGAGAGCCAGCTGTTACCTCGACAACCCCGGTGAGCTCAAACACAGCTCCTGAAAAGTCCTGACAAGCAGGTTTTTAATTTTCTACTTCTCTGACACCACAGCAACCACAACGCCAGGCTGCTTATTGTGTCGGCAGAAATAAAACTAGTTTGACCCCGCACAGCGGTCTGGATATTTGTAAGAAACGATGCAGGCATTTAAAAAAAAAAAAAAAAAAAAAAAGGGACTGTGGTTTGTTAGACTAAAACCTCACAATAGAGCACTGTGTGAGAATAATTACTGGAACTAATGAAATCAGAGAAACGAGGCGCCACTGTTTTCTATTAGCGTCGCTCTGCACTAAAACTTCAAAAATCTGAGTGTTTAGAGAATTCAAATGAACCATGACGGCAAAATTCTGTGAGCTAAGAATAGCGGATACAGTCAGATATTCAGCCAAGACTGCGAGTCCACACACACCTGCCGCTCACTGACACAGCAGAGATCTCACAGAAAACTTGTGTGATCAACTTCAGGAGAAAAAACTAATATGGGAGATTATCAAGATTATGTGTTCTGATTTGCAACCAAAAAAAAGAATATGGGGGAAACCCTGGTTGAAGAGGTGGTAAAGGTGCGGCGTATACACACAGCAGGACAAGCTGGAGGTGGGCGGTACAAGTACACAACATCCGGTTGGTGACACTTCCCAGTATGCTCGCTCTCATTGGCTGTTTTGAATTTTCTTTTGGATATTTCAGGCTCAAAATCGCGGCTACAATCGTCGAGTGTGGAGCCAGCCTAAAGCGCTGATGCACCTTTGGGCGGCTTTTTAGCGTCCTGGAAAACTGTGGCTCAGATAACCCTGGGAGCATCTTTACAGCAGAGCGAACAGCGCCAAGTTGAACTGTATTTACATTTTGCGGTAAACGGTTTAAATCTGTGATGATCTTGAAGCATTACATTTTTCCTGTTTTTTTTCCTACTTGCTCATTAAAATGAAGTTATTTTGTTGAGTACATTTGGAAACATCTTTCTTGGCTTTATTAACTTCTTAAAACCAGCTTGTCGCAGCATATTTCTCTATTTTTACACACTGCCAGTCGCCCTCTGTTCCAGCTAGTGTGTAGAAAAACCTCTGAACAGAAGCTGCTCGGTTTCCTTCATTTCATCTTGGAAGTGTTGCGTTTCACCACATGCAGTGCGTGTGTGTGTGTGTGTGTGTGTGTGTGTGTGTGTGTGTGTGTGTGTGTGTGTGTGTGTGTGTGTGTGTGTGTGTGTGTGTGTGTGTGTGTGTGTGTGTGTGTGTGTGTGTGTAAAATATGAGCTGGTGGATGTCGGCCGTCTGGATGCCGTCCAGGTGCTTAACCTGATAGCGCTCCTAAATATCTGACACCTCACTCAGATATTTGAGGTGAAACACTGAAGTCGATGTGTGTTTTAGATGGAGCTGTGTGTTTAGAGTGGAAGAAGGAGAACGAGCAGAATGGAGCCAGGAGAACAGGATACTGCTGACAGTAATTTAAACATGTGCTGAGACCTAAAATGATCTGAAATGTGTGACGATGTGCTGTGATGAATTTGCTCTGCGTGTCTTTTTCTCCTGAACGTTGAGTTGGAAGCAAACGCACTTGTCTCAACTCAATGTGAGGTTTATAATGCACAAGATAAGAGTTGGAAAAAGGTCGGTTTTAGTGCTGAACATGACAGGGAGAGATGGATGTTTTTCTTCCTTCTGAATAATTGCCGTTGGGAGCGTGTTTGCATGCGTCCTCCTGCAGTCTGGAGACGATATGTGGCTCTGGGAGGAGAAGCTGTCCACCTCTGATCAGTCCTGGAAAAGGCTATTTTCTCCCCGGCTCGAAGCCAAACAGAAGCGTGTGTGTGTGTGTGTGTGTGTGTGTGTGTGTGTGTGTGTGGTGAAGTGGGGGGTGAGTTGAGAGGGAGTGAACTCTCTCGTTTCTTGCCGGCCCATCTGTTTTCAATGATGAAATGTTTCGAGCTAATTGCCTTCTAATTAGTTGTCAATAACCGGCTCAGCTGGTGTCCAGGAGTTGTTACTGCGGGAAAGCAGCCTGGCTTTTACGCTGCTGCACGCTCCCTTCCGACCCCCCCCACACACTTCCTCCCACACTTCCTCCCCCTCGTACATTCCTATTAGAGCTCTGTTTGCATCACACACTTGTTTAAGTTCCTGCTCATCCCCTCATTCGATAATGAACGTTACCTTTGACTGCATCAGGAGGAGGAATCTGTGTGAATCTTGGCTGGGTGAGCATCTGTGCTGTGTGTGTGTGTGTGTGTGTGTGTGTGTGTGTGTGTGTGTGTGTGTGTGTGTGTGTGTGTGTGTGTGTGTGTGTGTGTGTGTGTGTGTGTGTGTGTGTGTGTGTGTGTGTGTGTGTGTGTGTGTGTGTGTGTGTGAGCTTGGCGGAAAGCGAACGTGGATTTGACACCGAGCAGGAAGAGAAAATAATAAACTTTCCTGCACAGCTAAGTTTTTTTCAGTGTTTTTCTACAGGCTGTTGTGTTAAGATGTCATGTCGAGACACCCTCGCTGAGACTGTTCGACTGTTTATTCATAGAAAATATTTTGATTCTCTGTTGTCTGTCAGACTTGCAGAAAAAAATGAAGGCGGGTTTGGATTTCTGATCTCTTCAGGTAGCAGCCAGTGTCTGTTTCCAGAAGAACTCTGTTAGCGACTCAACAAGCTCAGGATATGAGTATATCATCGGTTGATCAAATCTGATTAACATATGTAGAACTTATGCTTTCTCCTCATTTTATCCAATTGTAAGAAGACGCTGTTGCTCAGGAAATAATGCTAGGTGGAAACAGGCCCAAAGTCAACCAGATTTTGGAGCCAGCGTCAAGTGGACACTCGAGGAACTGCAGTTTTGTGCTTCATTTTTCAACACTGGAGGTTTCTGCTTGCGAGAACCAGAGAGGACAAACAGTAGAACATCTAATGTTTTGTTCCATCAGCTTTTGAATCATAGAAAAAGTTTCCAAATGTGAATTTGGATTACGGTTTATGGTGTCAGCATACGTCATACATCAGCTGTAAGGACTTTTATTTTGTTTAAATGACCTTTGATCTCTTGACCCGTAAGTGTCCCCACACGTCACAGAATGGAAATAGATTAGACGCCTTTAAGTTTTCTAAACAACGCTTTCAGAAGTCGACATTTAAAGCACTTGAAGGTCGTTGTTCTTGTTCTTCCTCACCTGTCACCCGGATGGTGTAGTTGCTGAGCAGCGTGTTGCTGTGAGCGAGCCGACACGAGTAGACGCCGGAGTCCTCGTACGACACGTTGATGATGCGTAACATCCTCTGGCCCAGCCGCGTCCTGTTGCCCGGCACCAGCCCGGCGCCGTCTTTAAACCAGACGACGGGCTCCGAGTGGTCCTCCAGGTCACATGACATTTCCAGGGTGTCCCCCATGCCCAGAACATAGTCCTCCAGGAAGGCCGTCTCGCTGGACACGGAGTCTGCAGGCAGAGAAAAAGACACGTTTTGTAAGTTTAATGAATATTCATGACGCAGCAACACCTCGAGTTCAGAGACGACGCAGGGGATGAATTCTTCTGTAAACTCCAGATGTATGAAGTGAATCTGAAAAAGATACTCTTGATTCTTGAATGTGAAAGTTTGCTCCTTTTTTAGCTACATACTTTGCATTTTTATTCTGTTTTCTCTGGTTTTAAGCTCGTAGTTGGACATTTGAGCAGACAGAATGATTAATTACTTTTTACAAAAAAGTATTAAATGGGGCGCCGGCGGCCTCGTTGTTGAAGCGGGCCCCATGTGCGGAGGCTGCGGTCAGCGGCTCCTTTCCTGCTTGTCGTTCCCTTCTCTCTCTCTCTCTCTCTCTCTCTCTCTCTGATTTCTGTCCACTGTCCTATCTCTAGATAGAGGCACAAAAAATCCCAAAAAGAAAACTTTTAAAACTTATCTCGAGGAATCATTTTTCTGGTAAACTGCTCGCAGCAAGCGGCCAACAGAAGAGCTTAATGTGAGATATACTGAGGAGAAACAAAGCATGGAGGCCGGTTTGTTACCTCTTCAATCAGAATGCCTTTTCCTCCTGCAGGTATATGTTTTAGAGTTTTTATAATTCAGGGTTTAAGCTTTTGTTTAAACACAACAAGTCTTTATATTTCCACAGCATATTTAAGAAGTGAACTCAGTCATAGAGTTCCCTCAGTGTTAGAAAAGCCCCCCCCCCCCCCAAAACAAAGAAGCAGTCATGCAGAATTAACTGCCGACCCGCTACCGAGATATCAGCTAATCTGAAGTCAGAAGAGTGAATATAACCTCCTCTCTTCCTCCTCAACCTCCTCCTCTACCTCTCCTCCTCTTCTACCTCTCCTCCCCCTCCTTTTCCTCCTCCTCTACCTCCTCCTCTACCGCTCCTCCTCTTCTAACTCTCCTCCTCTTCAACCTCTCCTCCTCCTCTACCTCTACCTCTCCTCCTCCTCTACCTCTCCTCCTCTTCTACCTTTCCTCCTCCTCCTTTTCCTACTCCTCTACCTCCTCATCCTCCTCTTCTACGTCTACCTCTCCTCCTCCTTCTCCTCCTCTACCTCTCCTCCTCCTCCTCCTCTACCTCCTCCTCATCCTCCTCTTCTTACTCTCCTCCTCCTCCTCCTTCTCCTCCTCCTCTACCTCTACCTCTCCTCCTCTTCCTCCTCTACGTCTACCTCTCCTCCTCCTCCTCCTTCTCCTCTACCTCTCCTCCTCCTCCTCCTCCTCTTCTACCTCTCCTCCTCTACCTCTCCTCCTCTTCTACCTCTCCTCCTCCTCTCCTCCTCCTCTACCTCTCCTCCTCTTCTACCTCTCCTCCTCCTCCTCCTCCTCTACCTCCTCCTCTACCTCTACCTCTCCTCCTCTTCTACCTCTCCTCCTCCTCCTCCTCCTCCTCCTTTACCTCCTCCTCTACCTCTCCTCCTCTTCTACCTCTCCTCCTCCTTCTCCTCCTCCTCTACCTCCTCCTCTACCTCTACCTCTCCTCCTCTACCTCTCCTCCACCTCTCCTCCTCCTCCTCCTCTACCTCCTCCTCTACCTCTACCTCTCCTCCTTCTCCTCCTCCTCTACCCCTCCTCCTCCTCCTCCTCTACCTCCTCCTCTACCTCTACCTCTCCTCCTCCTCCTCTACCTCTCCTCCTCTACCTCTACCTCTACCTCTCCTTCTCCTCCTCCTTCTCCTCCTCCTCTACCTCCTCCTCTACCTCTACCTCTACCTCTCCTCTCCTCCTCCTCTCCTCCTCCTTCTCCTCCTCCTCTACCTCTACCTCTCCTCCTCTACCTCTCCTCCTCCTCCTCCTCCTCTACCTCTACCTCTCCTCCTCCGTGTACCAGCGTGGTCATAGCGGGGTGGAAACATCAACATGTTGACAAGCCACACTGAGGATGCTGAAGATGGAGGGACAAACAAACAGAGGGTCCCCTTGTGTCTCCTCCTCCTCCTCAAGACCCCCGTTACAAATCAAAGCCGTCAGGGAGAGACAAAAAAAAGAAACGACCTCATGCACACTCTGGTCGCTCTGGCAACCATTCAAACGGACGCCGCTATGTACCAGAACACAAGGACACTTCTAAGCACACGGACACATGCATACTCTCACATATGCATAAAAAAAACACACACACACACACACACACACACACACACACACACACACACACACACGCATGAGAAAAACAGAACGGAGGTGTGTTAAGAGAGTGATTTATGACGGCGAACACTCCCACTGTTGACCCGCTGAAAGGGGCGGCGGCCTAACAGAGGCGAACGTGATGCGCAGCCCTGCTCGCAGACAGCCTTGAACTGAGATTAGGAAACTGGAGTTGAGAGGGAAGGTTGAAATCAGGAGCGGCCCAGACGAGACAATCTTCATGGAGAATACAGAACAGGTTGCTCTAAATGATAGATGAGCTCTCGAGGAGGCAAACTCTCCCTCACTGACAGACGGGAGGGATGTTTATGTGGGAGAACCGGCAGGTAACACAGACAGATAAATAAAGCTGTCTGAATGAGGGAATATTATCAACTCGCCCAAATTAAGCAGAAAAAATACTCAAAGGTTTTTAGTGAAGGTCGACATTTTTTCAATAGTGAGGATGGAAGATTTTTTTCTTTCTTGACTGAAATAATTAATATTTTGGTAAATGAATTATTATTATTATTATTATTATTATTATTATTATTATTATTATTATTATATTATTCAATAGAAAAAAATCAAATAGCAGAAGCCTGTTTTCAACTCAAATGTCGAGATTTGGAACTAAATTGATCGAGAACACGACTTAAAACCCAAATACAGAGGTTTAAAGCCGGTCTGGGGTTTAATTACTCTGTAAGCAAAGCTTACAACCCCCCCCCCACCGTTGTAACTCCTGGTCCCCCCTCTAGGGGTCCAGCGCCCCACTTTTGGGAATACACCAATCATGTGCCTTCAAGAGACGCAGTCAAAGACTTCAACTCAAGAAGAGAACTGCTCACAGGTCAGATTTGCACTGAAGAGCAGGACTTCAGGTGTATCAAACGAGTGAAATGAAAAACACGATGACAGTAAAAGTGTCTCTTCCTCGTTATTCCAGCCATTAAAAAACTCCCCGAGATGTTGAGTCAATAAAGTTATTCAACATTGTCTGCGTTGTTCTCTCCGCCCGGCCTCTGGCTTTTGACATCTTATGTTTACAACATGTTGCTTCGATGTAGACGGCTCCATTCAGGAGAAGAAAAACAGAGAGGCCTCGGAGGCGCACAGAGCATAAATTCAAACACAGCATGAATGGCTCGCTTTACCTTTTGAGGATGACATATGACCTCTGGGAAAGACGAGGAGAAAATGGGTCTTAGGATATCTTCAGGTCTTAAACAAGCCGGATTGGGCTTTATGGAGGAGTGGGAGTGTTATAATAAGCTCCAGAGGCTCATAGCTCTTTTTTTTTTTACGGCGCCTGAGCACTCGAACACAACCTCGTCTGAATCAGCAGAGACTAGAAGTCTATTTAGAGCTGAGGCACTTAAATGACAAAGACCTCTTTTTACTTACTTCATGTGTGTCTAACCATGCAGATAGTTTCCTTTTTATGTGCTTAGGTTTGACATATCGGTCTTATTCTTAGTCTATATTCTCTCCTGAGGTTTTTAAGTGAAGTGATCCTTTTAATATCAGCGAGCTGGTTGATAGGGTTTTCACACTTGCAGAAAAAATCCTGAAAAACTCCAGGAGGAGCTGTATGTGTGAACTCAAACAACCAACATTTTTACTTGGACTTCCCCCCGGAGTGTCTCCTGCCAGACCCCCCCGAGTATTTTTTCTTGCAGCAAGTCTGAGTGAGCTGATGTGAGAACGCAGCAGGATATTATCCAGAGAGTTCACCTCGAGCCAATAGGAGAGAGAGAGAGAGAGAGAGAGAGACGTTTACATCCTGTGACTTCTGCAAGGTGCACAGAGTGTCCCCCCAGGGAAACAGGGAAAGTCTCCCGCTGTGAGGAGCATTATGTTAACAGTCAGGTCAGGAGAATATCAGGAGCAGTCCTCCTGAAGTTATCTAGATATTTTCAGGAGTGTAGATGTGAAATTGGGCTTTAGTTACACTTTAGATTAGCGGGATAATTAGAGCAACATTTGTCACCAAATGTTTGCTCAAAAGAGTAAATCTGTTATTATCCTGGACATTCAGAAATGTATTTAAAGCTTCTGTGGTCTCCTCGGAGCAGACTATGATTAAGCACCGCAGCTTATTTTTAATTAGCATTTGTTAATAGCAAATGCAAAGCCGGGCCTTTGTGTGATCCTGTTGTAAAAAAAAAAAAAAAAGGAAGACTCTCGCTTTGATCCGGGGGGAAAGAGATAGGCTGAACGTTTGTGCACCGCTCGGATGTTTACACTGCCACAGGCTTAACAAATGCAATTTAGCAAAAGAAGAAAACAAAACAAAACCAAGATATATCCTGTACCCACAGAGAGGAAGAAGAAGCTCTATCTCTCAGGTGTCACACCAAAGAGTAAAGCTCCTCTTTTCTCTGGTCAGCGTCTATGACTGGAATATCTATGTCCGCTTCTGATCCTTCACTTTGAAATGCAGATTTTGAACAATGAAAAAAAAATAAAAGCAGCAGCAGCAGCTTTGAATAAAAGTGGGTTTGGTTTGAAAGGCTTCACTGTGCGCCCCCCTACTCGACCTCTAAAGACACATCTCCCCTGTCACTGCGCCTTATAGAAGGCTTGTTGTACCGTCGAGAGAACGTCGGTCACAAGTTTGATCACGCTAACATGAGACTTTTCTTCATGGAAGAGCTCATTATAAGTCAGTGAGAACTCATTTTGATATTTTCAGCTGCTGAGTGTCCAGCTAAAGGATTCTACTTTTACAAAGCGTGTGGGGACAGGAATCAAAGAGAAACTGGCAGAGGCGATATCATGCCACCTTCCTCTGCAGAATACAAAAAAAGACTTCTTTCAGTGTAAGGTT